TGTTAGCCCTAGTCACAAGTCTTCCAAACACATCAGCAATCAATGCGAACAAAAAGGCCAACAAGGGATCCCCTTGTCTAAGATCTCTTAGCACCGGAAAGTGGTCCACCACAAATCCATTCACCAAAATCGAATAATAAGTCTTCATGCACCCTAAGATCCATTTGCACCATCCATCACCAAACCCAAAATTCCTCATTACTTCAAGCAGAAAACCCCAATCCACCAAATCATAAGCCTTCTCCAAATCCAATTTATAGATGAAGCCCTTTTTTCTAGTCCTTCTCATCTCCTCAATACTTTCATTGGCAATTAGAATTTGATCAATGATTTGTTTATCCTTTATAAAGGCCCCTTAAGATTGTGAGATTATGTGAGGGGGGATCACTCTAATTCTTCGAGAGAGAACCTTGGCAATGATCTTGTATAAGCTATTAACCAAGCTAACTAGTGTGAAATCCTTTGGGTGCAAAGCATCATCTTTTTTGGTATCAATGCAATAAATGTTGAGTTGAGCCTTGAATTAATCGCTGCCCTATCATGGAACTCTTCAAACACCTTCCACAAATCACCTTTCAATACTTCCCAACAATCTTGATAGAAAGCCATAGTGAAACCATCCAATCTAGGAGCTTTAGATCTATCCATAGAGAACACAATTTCCTTGATTTCATTCAACTCAAACCTTCTCTCAATCCACTCCTCCTCTAATCTTGACCACTCCAGACCCTCAATCCATATTTTCTCATTCAGAGGTTTCCTGAAAATAGCTTTAAAGTGATACACAAAAACCTAGCCAATCTCACCCTGTCAGGATATGGTCGTACCATTCACCACAACTTTAGAAATAAAGTTTTTCTTTCTGCTTCTTGCAATAATCACACCAAGTCCTTCTTACCTTCCCTTCTAGTCTCACTACTCCCCCTGTCTCCATTCGGCTTAGGTTTTGTTGTACCAACCATAGCCGACTGGTCAGTCCCAGGCTGTCTCAGCATTACATTCCTCCTACTCTCTTCTCCAGAGACAAAGGCATAGGCCTGAGAGAGTGTCACACCCTCCCTAGAAAGAATTTGCTGCCTAGCAATGTCAAATTCAGGGTTCAGCCCTGCCAAGAACTCAAAAACCCTATTCCTCTCTACCAATCTGTGATAAGTTGCTGCATCATTTACACTTTCCCATACCACAATTTCTAAGTGATCTATTTCCTGCCATAGGGTTTTCAGCATGGAGAAATACATAGCAAGAGGTTTTTCTCCCTGTTTCATACTTATCACCTGATTTCTTAACTGATAGGCTCTGGCTTCATTTTGCTTCTAAGAGTATATTTCAATCACTCCATCCCAAATCTCCTTAGCAATATTAGCCCATAGGAAATTTTTTGCAATATGAGGTAACATAGAATTACACAGCCAGGACATTACCATGTAATTCTCTTGCACCCATTGGGAAGAGTCTGTATCAGGTTTCTTCTCCTCCCTAGTGAGATACCCTAATTTTCCACGAGCACCAATAGCCATCTTAGCTGATTGTGCCCACTCCAAATAATTTGTACCATCAAGTTTTATTGTAGTAATGATACCAGACCCAAAAATATCACTACTACCTCTAACACCCAGTCCCATAGTACCGGTAGATTTCATCTCGGTATTCCAACTCTCCATCTTACTTCAAACAGTTCAACAGTAAGGAAAAAAATAGATTGGAGACCTTCAAAAAATAATTTAATATCACACACACAGAAACCAACCCTTCCGAAAGAAGAAAGCCCTAGCTAGAGGGAAATCTCTCTCCTCCCCATGCCTCCCAACAGAGAGAAAAGTGAATTGATCACTCCGGGAGACCCAAAAAATTCCAGAAACCAAACCGCCCTCTTCAGAAAATCAAAAGAAAACTAACAATACCTAGGCGCCCAAGATCAGATCAAAAACAAAGAATCCAACTTTTTTGGGACTCTTCCCCGTATTCCAGTTCTTCCTGATTTTGATGTCGAACAATAGATCACCTTCCTGATGACTAGATCCCACCAAAAACTCCAAGGACTTGGTAATCTATAGCAGATCGATCAGCCCTTTACTACTTCATGCAGTCGGCTGATCTAGGGCTGCATGAGAATGCTTCAAGAAACCCTAGCCGATGCTCTGATACCAAGTAGAAATCTGCTGAATTAAAAAATATAAAAGAAAAGCAATTTCTTGAAGAGAGAAGGAAGAGAGAAGGAGAAGAAGAGAAGAAGAGAAGTTGGAAAGAAAAGAGAGTTGTGATCTGGCCGCCCCCTTCGCTTATTATTTATACTAAAATAATAGAATAGTACAAAGACTACTATGCCCTTATAGGGCGGCAAAACATAAAACAGCCTATATAACACTCAAAAACATAATAAAATTTGGACTCACATAACTATTGTGGTCCCCACCCCCTATCTAACAACTAACATAAAACATCTACTCAGAAAAACATCATAAAACTAATTAATCTTCAATAGTTTATTGAATCACCATTCTGATGTGGCAAAAATACCTTTCTGAGATGTCATATATTTATTGCAACAGAATGTTTAATAATAAAACGTGAGAGTAATTTAAACACCTCATCAGCATGTCTTAACAAGACATGATTTTGACAGACAATGCATAGTTGGGGGTTTTATGCTCCTAATTCATTGTTAAATGCATTAGTAGTGAAAACATCCCTATATATCCCTGTCAAACACTCTAATAAGACAAGGGGATGACCAGTAAAACAAGGGTTCAGGTACAAGTAAAGATATGAAAACAAAAAGAATTAGCCCCTAATAAAGAATAGGACAAATTTCTTAAACTACCCCTACTGTTTAGCTAATTGACAAATTATACCCTTACTGTTTAACTATTGTCTTAAACCACCCCTACCATTTCTGACAATTGACTAGCCCTACCCCTGTTGTTAGCGTCCATTAATGTTCCGTCAAAATCCGTATGCACATGACACCACATGACGAATAAAATTTTTTTATAACCCTTTGTCCCTCTTTTGTAAGCTAGGCTAGAATCACCACCTGTGAGCAGGAATGTTACACCAATTTTTAGATCCAGCATTTCAAAGGAGGGAGGAGGAGACACACAGGAGAGAGAGAGAGAGAGAGAGGATTACCCTTTGTCCCTCTTCTGTAAGCCAAGCAAGAATCACCGCCTGTGAGCGGAAATGTTATGTCAGTTTTTAGATCCGACATTTCAGACGAGGAAGGAGGAGACACACAGGATAGGGGAAGGGAGAGAGAGAGAGAGAGAGAAAGAGAGAGAGGGTCTCCAAGAAACAATACTGACGAGGCATGGTGTCGGCGGGTTGTCGGCCACGGTCTTTTGCTCTGAGAAACAACTTAACAAGCTGATAATAAGTGGGTGGTGGCAAAGACGGGGTAGCTGGCGAAGGCGGTGGTGGTGGTGGCACTGTTGCTAAGGCTGCAGCTGATGAATACACCAAGTCTAAAGGAGAGAGGAGGGAAGTAGAATAAGAAGAAGAGTCGTTATTTAAGAAGTTTGACATGGCTTGATGCAACCATATTGGGGTCTTTAGGAACTTAACATAGTGAATGGACCCCCCTAGCATGGAAACGGTGTCCATCTTGGTGCCTCCTGGTACTAAGTTGTGCAAGATCTTGAAGCAATCGCTGATACGGTGCCTCCTTTGTCAGGCTGCTACACTTTGTGGGTCCGACAACAGCTTCACTCCTTTGCTTCTCTTGCCACCTCTCTTCTTCTCCTTGGAGTTGGCAGAGGCCATCGATGTGGTTGAAACAGGTGGGTTGGGTTTACAAGGGAAGTTGTCCATCTGTGGGTCTATCGTAGTTATGGGGGAAATACTTGTTGATGATCTTCAAAGAACATGTCATCCAGTCCTTTCCGGCGAGTAGTGGAGGTCTAGTTCTGTCTTCCTCTCTTCCCTGTGGTAAGCATTTGACTGATCCCGCCCCGACATGGTCTGAAGTCTAAACAATTGTTGTGCGACCCACCAGCTCTATTTTTTTCAATTTCTTTATTTGGTGTGGCAATCTTGTCGATTTCAGGTGAACTGAAATAACAAACCATCTAGTATCATATTTGTTGTATCTTTTGCTTCCGACTTCTGAAGCAGATTTAAGAAAGCTTTCTCCACGTCTTGTAATTGCAGATTCCCCTTATTTTTGGGCGGAATCGCAAGACTTGGATTCAGACTCATCGGAATCGCAGATTCCCAGGTCAAAGTTGCCAGAGCTTCTACTTGAAGCCAAACAATCTGGGGTTGAGCAAAGGTGTTTCGATCAGAAGCAACAAGAGTGTGTGTGTGTGTGCGTGTGTGCGTCTGTGTGTGTGTATACATATATATATATCTATAACACCTTGTAACTAGTCCTACTTAGGTTTTTAAGATTAATATAATGTTCAAATTTCTAGCATCAATATCTGCTATTATCTTCTATTATCTTAAACAAATCAGGGTGAGTAATTATTCTTGCAAATTGTCTTTTTATGAACAAAAGAGTAATGTTTTCTAGATCTATTTTACTTTATTGGTATAATTCTTTTAGAGAAACTAAGGCGTCTTAATAAATGGCTTCATGCTTGTGTTACAGGAATTAACACCATGGAAACCTTGAAATTGCAGAAGGACAAGACATAAGACACCCATAACCCAGCATATTTGCAAGAAAAAAAACTGTTTACATTTTATCCTTATATGACATGAGGACTTCTGTGGTTTCTTACTCTTCTGTCACAAATATTTTTCTCTAATAAACAACATGTTTGTGAAAGTTTTAAAGAGGGAAGATTTCTTATGACAGAACCTTTCATGCACTGTTTAAGAAGCACCTCAGGAAATTATTTAAAAATCAACCATCTTTTTCTTTTCCAGTTTCTCGTTCTTTTATTTAACATTGTTTAGAATATTATTATACTGATAATTAAAGGTTTCTTCCTCCATTTAGTTCTAGGCATATTTCTTTACTCTTGAAAGTCACCTTTTCATTACCTTAACTAGTGCAGAGACTACCAGGCATTACCAGTTGCGTAGGCAGGGTTTTGTAGAAGAAACAAAGTGGCAATCATCTGGTCAATTACTTCCTTTCCCCATCAAAGGAAACCAATCCAAAGCTGATCTTCATTTGGTTGGTCATGGGTTTCTCCGTCGTTTTCAGAACCCCACAATTTTTCTAAAAGTTTCTTGTGATGGAGACTTCTTGTTGCCAATTATTGTTGGTATGTAGATGATGTTGCTGCGTCTTAGTATCTTGCCTATTAATCATTGCTTTTGGTATTTTCATTACCATTTTTTGTGCAAATTTAATGTATTGGTAACCCTGACTACTAGTGCAGGTGAATTTGCTGTTGAAAAATTAATAGATGCCTTCAAGGAGGATATCAATGGGGTAAAATTTCATCATTCAGTTTCATTTATTGTTAATTGAGTTTCCAATTTGCACAATTTTGGCTATTTGACCTTCAAGTTGGCACTAAATTTTGGGCTTGGTGCAGCATTCTCCTGACCAGTTCCAGTTTGTGAGAAATCTTGTTGAGAAACTTGATTACGAAGTAAGGAGCTAGCTATCTCTCTATATATTATTTATTGCACCACTCAAGCTTTTCTAATTTTTACTTACCGTTTCACAAAAAAGAAAAAGGATTTAACAGATCTTTTGAAAAAATAAATTTCTTTTAGTGAACGAAAACATTTTTTTATCAATAAAGATATAATTTTATTAACATCAAAAGAAGGAATTACATCAAGGTGGGAAGTTCTTCCCCCTTGCTAAGGATTCTATTTCACAGACTGTATGCCTGTGAAATCCCATGGGATATTTGGGTACTATTCCTTGCCCATGAGATAACCACTTGTGAATCCCCTTCCACTTCCAAGTTAAGAAACCCAAACTGCTTACCGAATTTTAGACCCTGAAGAAGACTAGACAACTCTACTGTCACTGCATCACCATTGGCTACAGGTCCTGAATATAATGCAAGCTCCTTCCCTTCTGAGTCTCGAAAGACCCCACCCATCCCAGCTATAGCTTGATTGCCTATGTAGCTTCCATCAAAGTTGAGTTTTACACAGTTGGCTGCTGGTTGTCTCCATTCCATCACTGTTCTTTCCTTGTTTTGAGCTGACATCGCCACTTCCTTCCACTTTCTCAGAACATCATGTAGAGAGAGATTTAAGTCCTCCATTGACTTTACTCAATGAGCTACCTTTATTTTAGTCTTTCCAGGACTTCCAATTCTGTCCTACTCTTTTCATTGAATATCCTTCCATTTCTTTCTTCCCAAACAGTCCAAATCAATGCATCTCTCACAGCTTTCCACATCAGCCTTTCTCTAAACTTTGATTGTCTCAAGAGGTTGGATCAAAGAGCCCTACCGCATCCTGAGGAGGAGACCACCTGCACCCAAAGAGAGAACAAAGATGCTCCCAAATACAAAGCACAAAAGGGCAGGATAAGAAAATATGGGGAATAGTTTCACCATTGTTCTTGCAAAGAAAGCACATGTGAGGAGAAAGGCATGTATTTGGCCTTCTTTTTTGCAGCATGCCATTGGTGTTAATCTTTCCAAGGAAAACTTCCCAACAAAAGACCTGAATCTTAGGAGGGATTTGCTTGCTCCACATTTTTTAGTGGGAAATTCACCCCTATTGTAAGGCTTGAGTGTTCATTGTAATTGATGTTAGTGGGACAGTTTCAGTTACTTTACTAGTCCTTTCTTTTTTTCTTTTCCTATTGTTCTTATTCTAGGATATGCCGCCAGGGGCATACTTGTAATTTTGCCTTTTTATAAAGATTAATATAAATAGAAAACTGGCGGTTGCCAGTACGGAGTTTTTTGGCCTTTCCTTTCTATCATCCGTACCTCTCTCTCTCTCTCTCTCTCTCAATCATCACAAGAAACTACAACCCCCAAGGCAGAAGGCTGAATTAGGAAGTTGAAAAAGGATGCACAAGTAAAAAGACCATTGACCATCTAAGAAATGGATCACACTCTGTTGTCCTCATCACTTTGATCCTAAAAAATGGAATCAAGTTTGGCCAAAAGGAGGATGAGAGAATCAGACTCCATTTCCCTTAGAACTCTTCTAAATCCCAAATCCCAATTTATCCTTGAGGCTGAGAAATTCGCAAACTTAGAAATGGGTTCACATTTATGAACAACAACAATTTTAACACAACATTTTGTTGGGATCCAAGGAAAAAGATAGGTCCTTTGGAGGTTATCCTACATAATGAATTATTTTAAGGAGTCATGGTTTTATTTGAGCAACTTATCATCCCTTGTTCCAAGGTTGGATAATGTGATGACAAAATCAATTTATTATAGTTGATTTTGGTTGTACTAGGTTGTAGCTTGCTCTTTCTTTTTCAATGATAATTTTATTGTCAATGGAAAAAAGATCAGTTCCAAGACTAACTTCCATTGAAACTATTTTTGTTCCTCTGATAATAGATGTTGTATACAATGTTATATTGTTATGTAGAGATGCACTAGAGCAGTGATCATATGGAGTGGGGAGGCAATTTCTTTGTAGACTAGTCACTGCAAGAGTATTTCATTGGATCTAGAAGAAAAACAACCTTTTGAAAAGAAAGGACTGTTTAAAAAGTTGCAGAAAATCAAAAGAAAGTAGCAGAAATCAGGTTTCAATAAGAGAGAAGAAGAAGAAGGTGGCGGCAACTAGGGTTTAGAGAGAGATTTTTGAACATAACCTTCTCTCTTACACCCCTAATTCCATTTCATTAAGTTAAACTTTAATAGTTTACAAAGAGGCCCCTAGTTGGGTAGAAAAATAAAAAAAACATAACACAAGAAAGAATAAAGCCCAAATTAAAGCCCATTACAGCAAAGAACATAAAAAATAAAGAAGGATAAACAGCCTATGGGCCATTCGGCCCATCTTCTCTACACTCCCCCTCAAGTTGAGAATAGATGTCAATCATGCCAAGCTTACCAATATCATGCTGAAGTTTAGCCTTGGGAATGCCCTTGGTGAGGAAATCAACTAACTGTCCTTCAGAGGTGATGAAAGGTAGACACACTTCTCCAGAAGCCACTCTTTCTCGAATGAATTGTCTATCAACTTCATTATGTTTAGTTTTGTCATGTTGCATTGGGTTGTGAGCAATGTTGATGGCAGCTTGATTATCACAGTATAACATCATTGGCTTATCATGCTCAATACCCAGTTCCTCCATCAAGGATCTAAGCCATAGTAGTTCAGAAACTCTATTAGCCATGGCTCTATATTCAGCTTCGGATGAAGATCGAGCAACAACTGATTGTTTCATACTTATCCAAGAGACAATATTACCTGCCACCAAGCTACAGTACTTAGAGGTAGATCTTCTGTCATCAATGTTTTCCGCCCAGTCAACATCTTTGTAGGCTTCAAGTTTCATATGGCCATGCTTAGCAAATAGAATTCCCTTTCCAGGGGAACCCTTCAAATAACACAAAATCCGCTCTACTGCTGCCAGGTAAGTATCCCTAGGAGTATGCATGAACTGACTAATGCAACTGACAACATATGCAATGTCTGGTTGAGTCATGCATAGATAGAGAAGTTTTCCAAGTAGTCTCTGGAAGACTCCCTTATTTTTCAACAATAGTCCATCTGAAGCAGAGAGTTTATGGCTCATATCAATAGGAGTAGCAACTAGTTTAACACCCATCTTCCCTGTTTCAGAGAGCAAATCAAGTACATACTTTCTTTGAGAGATAAGTATCCCATCTTTGGATCTGGCAACTTCTATGCCAAGAAAGTATCTCAATTCCCCCAAACCTTTGATCTCAAACTTTGTATGAAGGAAGGATTTGAGATCATTAATCCTTGATACATCATTACCAGTCACAAAAATATCAACATACACAATCAGGTAAACGGCCAAGGATCCTATTCTCTTCACAAAGAGGGTATGATCAGATTGTGTCTGTACATAGCCAAAGCTAACAAGGGCAGCCCTAAACCTTTGAAACCATTCTCTAGGGGATTGTTTAAGTCCATAAAGAGATTTCTTCAGCCTGCAGACCTTTCCTTTCATATCTATTTCATACATCCCTGGAGGAAGAGACATATAGACCTCCTCATGTAACTCTCCATTCAGAAATGCATTCTTTACATCCAGCTGATAAAGTGGCTAGTCTAAGTGTGCAGCTAGAGATAACAGAACTCTTACAGAAGTCATCTTGGCAATAGGAGCAAAGGTCTCCAGATAATCAATCCCATATGTCTGTGTATAACCTTTTGCCACCAGCCTAGCCTTGTACCTTTCAATGGTGCCTTCAACATGATATTTGATAGTAAAAACCCACTTACAGCCTACTAGGTCCTTCCCTTCAGGCAAATCAACCACTTCCCAAATGTCATTCTTGTGCAGGGCATCAATTTCTGTTCTCATAGCATCCCTCCATTCTGGAATAGTAAGAGCTTCTGACACAGACCTGGGAATTGGGTTAGAAGCAATAGAAGAAAGGTAGGCAAAATATGAAGGAGAGAGCAAACTCTAAGAAAGGTGTTTGGAAATGCAATGTGCAGTACACTTCCTTTTTCCTTTCCTAATAGCAATAGGGATATCAAGGTCTGGGATGGATGGCTCCAAAGGGGTTGTATCAGTACATGTTGTCTCTTTTGTGATTGGAAGTGCAGGAGGCTCATGTGTTGTAGGGGAAACAATCTGCTCATTTCTGGTTCTCTGTCGTTGGTACAACCTGGGATTAAAAAGAGGACGAGGAGGTAAAGGAGGAGGAATAAGAACACTTGAATGAGAGTGAAATGACTGATCCTCGACTCATTTGAAGGAGGAAGAGTCTCTGTAAAAGACTCAACTAGGACAGGAAGGGGAAGAGCAAACAACTGTGACAAATTCTCCCCCTTTGGGCAATGCCTCTCCTGAGAATAATCATAAAAGGAGGAGAGCTCATCAAAGGTGACATCCATTGAGACATACCGAGTGCCAGTCTTCGGATCAAAACAACAACTCTTTTCTGTGGGGGAATAACCAAGGAAGATACACTTGTGGGCTTTTGGTTCAAATTTATGTCTCTGGACACTTGGGATATGTACATAGCAAGTGCAACTAAAGACACAAAGAGGAATAGGAAAAAGATCCTTGTCCAGATGAAGAAGACTGAAGGGAGACTTAAACCCCAAAACCCTGGATGGCATACGGTTGATAAGGTAGGTTGCAGTGAGAACAACATTACCCCAAAATTTTGTAGGGACATGTGAGGCAAATAGAATGCTTCTTACAACTTCAACAATATGCTTATTTTTTCTTTCAGCAACTCCATTATGTTCTAGGGTCCTAACACAGGAGCTTTGGTGAATAACCCCCAAATCAATGAGATAGCCGGTTAGGTTTTTCTCAAAATATTCTTTTGCATTGTCGGAGCTGAAAATTTTAATTCTGGTATCAAATTGGGTTAGGACAAATTCATGGAATTGCCTCACAAGTCTGGGAACTTCATCACGGGACTTCATAAAAAATATCCAAGTGAACCGAGAAAAGTCATCAATGAACAAGATAAAATATGTAGCCACCCATAGAAGGTAAATGGTAAGGCCCCTACACATCAGAGTGCACAATATGAAAAGGAGAAGATCTTTTATTACTNAAGGTAAATGGTAAGGCCCCTACACATCAGAGTGCACAATATGAAAAGGAGAAGATCTTTTATTACTCAAAGGATAACTGTTTCTACAATGTTTTGACAATTCACACGACTCACAATGAAGACTGGACAGACTAATTCCCTTAAACAGTTTTGGGAATAAATGACTTAATGCAGAAAAAGAAAGATGACCCAAACGGAAATGACATAACATGATTCGACTGATGGACTCTATAGATGTAGACCCAAAAGCAGCTTTTCTAGGTTGTTCATGGCTCTGTCCAGGAGTGTCCAATAGATATATTCCATTCGCCTCATGGCCACTCCCAATCACTTTCTGAGACTCGAGATCCTGAAAAACACAGTAGGAAGGAAAGAAGGATACACAACAGTTCAATGACTTAGTTAGGCTACTTATAGATAACAAGTTTGTATTTAGCTTGGGTACATGAAGAGCAAAAGGAAGTACCAAGGAATCTGTAGCCTTGATGGTTCCCTTGCCGGAGATAAGGGCAAGAGAGCCATCGGCTAGGGTGATTTTGTCACGGCCAAGAAGTAAATCATAAGAAACAAACAAAGTGGAAAGGTTGGTCATATGATTAGAAGCACCATAATCAATAATCCAAGGGATCCTACGATTACCTGAAATAATTGCATGATTGGCAGAAGCCCGTATACCTGAATGTGCAAATGCAGAAGAGGTTGAATTTCCTGGAGGGTTGGAAGAAGAGGCCACACCCTTTAGGTGACTAATCATCCTCCCAAACTTCTCATATTCTTCTGCGTTCATAGCTGCTAACTGCTCACTAGTTGTCATCTCTTCAGTTTGGTATCTGTCACTATTTGGACCAGTAGCAATATTGGCACTCCCTTCCTTCATATTATTAGACTTCTTATGAAACCGAAGAGAAAGAAGTTCAGGATGCAATTTCCAACACTTGTCTTTAGTGTGTTTTGGCTTTTTACATTACTCACAAATAATCTTTTTCTTCCTTGAGCTACTTGGAGTCCTTGCAACTCCCTTGGGTTTCACTCCCATATTAGCAAAGTGATCATTTAGACCAGCCCCTTGGACCTGGACAAGTCTTTTGCTTTCTTCATTACTTACCAAGGCATAGGCTTGAGACAGTGAAACACTATCATTGGATAAAATATTTTGCTTTGTGATGTCATACTCTGGATTCAGCCCTGCCAAGAACTCAAACACCCTATTTCTCTCAACAAGTTTCCTGTAGGTCTCAACATCATTAGTGGTGTCCCAGGCTACAGCTTCTATCAAATCTATTTTTTGCCATAAATACTTCAGTGTTGAGAAATATACAGCTAATGGTTTCTCCCCCTGTCTTAAATTCTTCACATCACTTCTCAGCTTGTAAACCCTGGCCACATTTAATTTATGGGAATAGGTTTCAGCAACACTATCCCAAATTTCCTTTGTTTAATTCATCTACAAATAGTGTTGACTAATATGTGGTTGCATTGAGTTCACAAGCCAACCAATAACAGTATAATTTTCTTGCATTTGTTTTTCATATGATGGATCATCTTCCGAAGGAGCCTTCTTGCTCCCGGAGATAAAACCCCATTTGCCTCTACTGTAGATATGAATTTTTACTGATTGTGACCAAGCCAGATAATTAGTTCCATCCAGTTTGACTGTGGTCACAACCAATAGAGAGTCTATAGAGGCTCCCAGAACCTGTCCGGATTCAACAACATGCTTGTTTTCAACTTCTGAAGGGTTCATCTCCTTAAATACTTCGAAAATAACTTCTAACAGCTTCGAATAACAACAAATGAAGGCATAACAAAAATTGTGTTGTGAGCCAACCTCTATGTAGCCGTACCAGCTACCTGCGTCACACCCGAAAGCCGGGAAAAACAGTGAAATCTCAGCCGCTCCTTGTAGACTTCACAGAACACCAATCCACTTGATTCGATCTTCGAGATGAAGGATGAGAAGGCCTTCAGTCACTGAGAGCCCAGGTCAAACTCCCTGTGGGGCCCGCAATCAGATTTCTCTAGAAAATTAGGGTTTTGGGCAACACACTTGAATCTGTCAGGAGGACGACAAAACCAGTCCCCTTCTCTCCAGAAACCACTAACAACTGGGCTGAAATAGGTTTCTTTAACTATTCATACAATTCAGTTCTCCATACACACTGTGTATGGGAAAAAAAAGGTGAAAAGTAGTAAAAACGAGCATGCTCTGATACCAAGAAGAAAAACTGCATTTTGAAAAGAAAGGACTGTTTAAAAAGTTGTAGAAAATCAAAAGAAAGTAGTAGAAATCAGGTTTCAAGAAGAGAGAAGAAGAAGCAGAAGGTGTCGGCAACTAGGGTTTAGAGAGAGATTTTCGAACATAACCTTCTCTCTAACACTCCTAATTCCATTTCATTAAGTTAAACTTTAATAATTTACAGAGAGGCCCTTAGTTGGGCAGAAAATTATAAAACTAACACAAGAAAGAATAAAGCCCAGATTAAGGTCCATTACAACAAAGAACATAAAAAATAAAGAAGGATAAACTGCCTATGGGCCATTCGGCCCATCTTCTCTACAGATCTCTATGAGAGAAGAGTTTAGAGGACTCCTCCTTTACTCTATTTTGAGAGATTGGTGGATGGTTGCTATTTTTCTAGTCATAGGAAACTAGTACAAAGGGAGGCCTCTCTCCTCAAGGCTGGATTAAAACTCAGTTTTGATGGTTGCTCTCTAGAGACCCCAAACTCATTACAGGTTCATGAAACGTTTTGGGGACATTTGAGTAGTCATTGTTGCATACTTTGGCCATATTAGGGCCAAAGTATGACTGTAAGGGAAGGGACCATTTGTCTCCTGTAAGGCTGGAGTATCAAGTCTTCAACATTTTTGGCCTAGAGAGAGTATTAAGTCTTCAATCTTCAACATCACTTCATGGAGGCAAGATTGTTGGCATCTGGAATGAAATTCTTGTTTAATTAAATTCTGAGGTTGTCCAGTTCCTTGGAAAGTATCTTTTCAAGACATGAGAGACTCTTTAGATTGCTGGGTAGATCTGTTGGATTAGTATATTTATAGATGACTTGGTTTGGGATCAGCCTGGGGGTTGTTTATGTTATTGTGGTCCTTCCTCTCAACTTTGACACCCATGAAATCATGAAACTGCTGAAACCAACCATGAGATAGCCTCTTTTTTATCAGTACAACAAGGTAGCCTTTTGGCCTTGATGATTTTATTATACTTTTCTAAATTGCAGTGAAATAGTTTGGCCCCAAGGAAAAGGACAATCGGGTCAGGGGCTGCAAATGGTATTTGATGGTGCATGATCTGAATGCTCCTAGCTGGAGGGCAGCTCGGATGTCAGTCCGCTTGGTTGGCCGGTCGAACTGCAAAAGAAGAAGGCTTAGAGGACCTAGGGTGGCTTACCCGGTGTGGGTTCTCCGATGCTTAAGTTAGTAATCCGGTATGCGAGCTGAAAGCTTGTATGCTAGAAGGCTAGTGAGCAAAAAATCGCGCATACCTTATGATGTTGGGGTTGGTGCCCTTATATAGGTGAGTTGTAGTAGGTATTATGAAACACCTCCAAGATCCCCGACGCGTGCTACTAGGAATCCGTTCCGCACCTGGAGGTGGACTTCGGGTGGACTGATAAGGCTTATTGAGTCCGTCCGATCCGAGTGGGATAAGGATAAGGTTTGCAAACGTGCGACATGATCCCAGAGAGATCGGAGACAGTTGGCAAGCTTCTAGAAGTTGGCTACGTGTCACCTCGACAGGTCGGGCCATCACAAGCTGCTCGGACCTCGGTCTTGGCCGAGGTGCCTGAGGTACCCGAGCTGACCTGGCTTGCTGAGGTGGCAAGGAGCACTGAGTTGTCGTCCAGTCTGCAGGTCGCTTCCACGTGTCCTTGTGTTGATAGGTCGGGCCAAATTACCCCTCATCAGTATCCTTTTTTCTAATTTTGAATTCAAATCCAATCCGATTAAGGTGATCTGAATTTGATCTGTTTATCAAATATGGATCTACCCCAATCCGATCTGATATAATTTGATTTTATCTGATAATATTTGAACATTTACTTTTATGCTTATATCTACAGAAAATTACTATGTATCTATTAGTAAAGTTGGTTTGAATGTTCTGCTGCACAGGTTTGTATCATGATAACATCTTAGTACACTTTCTTAAGGCCTGATGGTGGTTTAGAATCTTATTGCTATGGCATTGGAAATTCAATTCTTTTGGCCCTGATGCTTGATAGGTGTGATGATGTAGTAGACATACAACATAATGATGGATAATGCTAACTTTGTAGTTGGTCTTAAAGTAGTTTAGCAGTCGTACAAAACTTCTTAGTTTTTGGAACTTCAATAATTCTGAGTCTTCAAAGTTGGGAACCTGATTATCATAATTATTGATAACTGATAAACAATTTATAGCATAGGCATTGCATGAAGGCAACAATTTGTTAAACTTCTCAAGCTATACTAGACATTTAGAATTTGCTGAGAGTCTAGAACATAATTGTTTTGATTATATAGAGTATTGAGTATGTCTATGAGATGCTGTACTCTCTTCTATTATTTTGAATTCATTTTTTCTTCAATTTCAGGTAAAAATGGTTCGTATTACTGAAAGGGTTGTAAATACTTATTATGCCAGAATATACTTTAGCAAGGTAAATGTAAAACTTTTGCTAAACAAGTTTCTTAGAGTTTGTTGGCATGGTCATGATATTGAAATTGCCTTGCACCAGTTACTTTTAGTTTCCTTTTCATAAGAATTTTAATTAGGAAATCTCATTTTTATTTTTAAAACTTAATGAAGCTTCTATATCTGCAGCCAGGAGAAAAGCTGCTCCTAAGCGTGGATGCACGCCCATCAGATGCCATTAATATAGCAAAAAGATGCAAGGTAATGTTTATAGCACATTTTCTGTTGCTTGAAAACCACTGATGTTATTAAGTTTGGAAGCACTGGAGATGGTTGATATGCTTATCTAATAGCACTCAGAGTCCTAAAGATGCTTCTTGATTCATATGAAGCTGTGGTGGTTCAGTTAAAAAGGGTTGGACTGCTTGTTTGCAGCAGAAAGTTTGAACTCCCAAGGTTGATTTCTCAACGAAACAAATTGCACAAGAATGTAGCCTCAAACTAAATAAAACCAACAATGGAGAATCACTGAATTATCACTAGCACTGTAGTGAAGTAACCTTCAACTCAACTAAACCTTGTCCTGACCATATGGAGTTGGTGATTGTAGTGAAGTAACCCTAAATTCCTTAAGGTGTGGTAATGATCAACACAAAGAAATCACCTCTCAACTAAGCATGTGTATATACAAAATTGATGGAAAGAGACAATGTGTTAACTTGAGAAGATAAAAGAAATAAAGCAAGATAATGAGGCCAAGAGGCTTCATGATCTTACCAGTTCTTAGTAATTGGCTCTAGTCAGGGACAGAGGCATGGGAAGGGAAACTGAGGAGGGATAAACTTCCCCCCTCCCTGTATAAAATGCTAGATACTTGTTGTGTAAGTTGATGTGTTGTTTGTGTTTTGTGTGTTGTATGTGGATATATGGTCATGTTCATGTAATGTATGCATGTGTGTATCTTTCAGTAAGAGAATACTTATTTATAAACATAACTCGTGTACAAAATGATTATGTACAATGGGATATACAGGTATGATCCTTTTCCTATCTGCATTTGTCTCTGTCAAATTTTCAAAACCTAAGCAGAGTTGTATGCTCCTCAAAAATCTCATTATGAACCAGGCTCTAGAATACAAAATGATTTGTCTCTTTCTCTTAATGAAATCTTAAATTATTTATCAAAAAATTACGGTGTTCCCATCCCTCCTAAAGTTTCTTTCTTTGTGTGGGAGGCACGCCTAAAGAAAATAAATACTTGTGGCCTGTTACAAAAGAACAAAGGTAGATGGTGTATCTCTCTGCATGTATTCTCTCTGAGTCTAGGTGGTGGTGAGTTAGTTGAGCACCTTCTTCTGCATTGTTCTATAACCAAGGGGATTTGGTGCACTTCTTCAGGTTAGTTGGTCTCAGTTGAGTGGTAGAGTTTATGTGGCAATGGTAAGGTAGAGGGTTAGGAAGTAGAGGCAAATTGTATTGGAGATTTGAAGTTTGGTAAGTGGTGTAAGTGGATAAAAGGGTGTATCAGAACATGCCACTACTCTATACTGGTGAATGGCAAGGTGGTAGATCATTTCCTAGCTATTAGGGGTATTAGACAAAGGGACCCCCTCTCCCCCTTCCTTTTTACCCTGATTGCTGAAGTTTTAGGGAGGCTTATTGAGAGGGCAGATTCTAGAAGCTTGGTAAGTGGTTGGAGAATTGGGAGGGATAGGGTTCCGGTCACTCATTTACAATTTGTGGATGACACAATTCTGTTTTGTGGTGGGGATGAGATTAGGTGGGTTAGTAATTTAAAGTTGGTGATTAATGTGTTTGAACAAGTGACTAACCTCAAAGTAAACCTTGATAAGAGTTGTGTGATTGGCATTAATATGAGTGTCGGAGAGGTGGAAGAAAGGGATTAGGTTTTGGGTTGTGAGATTGCTCAATGGCCATTGAAATATTTGGGGCTTCCATTAGGGGATAATCCTAGCAAGAGGAGCTTTTGGAACCCGGTAATTGACAAATTCACAAAAAGGTTAGCCTCTTGGAAGAAAAACTACCTTTCTTTGGGTGGTAGGCAAGGTTCAAAATTTCGCAACATATCAAACCGTATCAGCCGATACGTATCGTTCCGATATAAGTCCGATACACGGAACGCATAGAAATTATCTATAGCGTTCCTTTTCGTATGTATCGGTCTATATTGGGCCCTGTATCATTAATTTCATTAAATTATATTTAGGGCCGAATTACCTCTCATTAATTTTATATTTACTCCTATAGTTAAGTGCAATTTCTCTCTCATTAACTAGTTAGTTACTCCTGTAATTAATGCATAATTTTAAATTTGAATTTCAATTTTAGTGCCTAATTGGAATTCTCTTCTCATTAATTCCATTAATTAATAACCCTCTTTCTCATTAAATTCGTTTTGTTAGTATAATACTACAAACTTAGCAATAGCAAGATTCGAACCTTGGACATTAGGCTTTAATAACTAGAGGTTCACCACCAAGCCACGCCCATTTGCTTGTTATAGGTTTATGCATTTTTATTTTTAAATAAATTTTCTCTTTTTCTTAGTGTGTGTTTATCAATAAATGTTAGAATTAATTATTAAAACTTGTGTATTAATAAATATAAAGATAAATTATATTGATTGTTTTAAAACTAATATATATCAATATACATTTTAGTTTTTTTTTTTTGTTTTTTCACATTTTAGTTAGTCCATCATTTGTGAATAGTTACTAAGTGTGTCCCGATATCTTGAATTTTATATAGACCATTAAATTACAGTTTTTTTACTTTTAAATAACTTATTTACAATCATATAAAACTTGTAACTATCGTTATTAATATATTTTTAGGATTTATTTGAGATTTTTAGCATATTTATGCATATCTTGATTTTTTGTCCGTATCTATACTTATCCAAAGCGTATCCCGATACGTCTCTTAAAATTATCTTTCTGATACACCTTACGTTTCCGATACTTTAAACCTTGGTGGTAGGATAACTTTGATTAAGTCCACCTTGGCAAACCTCCTGGTTTACTTTGTGTCTGTGTTTAGAATTCTTGAGGGAGTATGTAGGGTTTTGGAAAAACTAATGGGGGATTTCTTATGGGAATCAAGGGAGGAGAAAAGGGACCATAGAGTTAGGTGGGACATGGTTACAAAAGCCAAAAGTGATGGACTTGGTTTGGGTAACTTATAGAAGAAGAATGAAGCTCTTTTGGGGAAATGGTTATGGAGATTGACTAAAGAAAGGGAGAATTTGTGGGCTAAAATAATCCCAAGTATTCATGGGCAAGAGGCAGATGGTTGGGATACGGGGATCTCATCTAGGGCTACAAGAGCTTCTCCCTAGAAGTCTATTCATGCTATCCTTCCTTCCTTTCTTCCTTTTATCAGGTATGAACTTTGCTCTGGTATGTTTGTGAAATTCTAGGAACATATTTGGGTGGGAGACACTCCTTTGAAAGAGCAGTTTCCCTTTTTGTTCTCTCTCAAGGTTTAAAAATGAGCCCGTAGCCACCTTCCTAACCTTGTCTAATTCTACTTTTAATTGGAATTTGGGTTTTAGAAGGGCTCTTAGAGATTCTGAATTGGACTCCATCTCTAACTTGCTTAAGATTTTGGACGAGGTAGTTATTGACCTCTCCAATGTGGACAGTAGGGTTTGGTCTCTTGCTTTGTCGGGTATCTTCTCTTGCTCTTATTTTTTCAAAGAACTAAGACAATCCAATCCGGTCCTTGGTTCTCCTTTCCCAGTCTTGGAAGTTTGGGGTAGACCAATTCCTCCCAAAGTAGGTGCCTTTTGCTAGGAAGCTATCTTAGAAATGTGTAACACTTGTGACCTACTTCAAAAGAAAAGGCCTAATTGGTGTTTATCCCCACATTGGTGCATTTTATGTAAGAAGAGTGGTGAGAGCTGTTATCACTTATTAGTTTCTTGCCCTTGTATCAGAAATCTGGTGTTGGTTTTTCTCTCATTTTGGTTGCAGGTGGCCCTCCCCTTCAAGTGTGTAGATCTTGCTTAATTCTACATCAGTGAGGGGTTTAAAAAAGAGGTAAAATCTTGTGGAGATGTGTTAGAGCAGTTGTATGCTGGACAGTGTGGGAGGAAAGAAATCAAAGAACTTTTCATGAAAAAAAAATAAGGAAGCCATCATTGAATTAATTTATGTTAGGGTGGTTCACTGGGTCAAGTCTATGATGCTCTTCGAAGGTTATTCAGCAGGAGACATCATTAGAAAATGGAAATAAGTGGCTTGGTCTGCTCCCTTGACTACTTCCCTTAGTCCAGCTTGGACTCCTCCAGCTTCGGGGTTCATTAAATTGAACTTTGATGGCAGCAATGAAGGAAACCCAGGCCTTTCAGGTATAGGTGGAGTATTCAGGGATGAAGAAGGTCGAATTATTGTTGTTTGCTGAAAGGTTGTAGCTGAAGTAGTAGAAGAGAGGTGAAGGCAAACAAGT